CACTTCGGTAGGGGCTAGCACAAGAAGCCTTTAAAAATGTCACGTACGACTGCAGGTCGCAGTCTCAAGTTTGGGTTGAGATCAGGAAGGTGATCAGGAAGGGACCAACCATCACAGTTGGAGATTTTAACTTACCTAAAATTGATTGGGTTGAAAATGTGTCTACTGGTAAGATAGGGAAAGGATTTCTAGAGTTAATGGAATGGTAAAAATCCCTGCATTTGATAAAGGTATGGAGGTGCTCATTAAGAATAAGATCATGGAGCGCCTGGTCAGTAATAAAATGATAAAAGATAGTCAATATAGGTTTATGAAGGGCAGATCATGCCAAACTAATTCACCAGTTGATTTCTCGGCAGATTGTTGTTGATTTTGCTGACAAAGCTATCGAAGATGGTAGACTGCAAAGAGGAACAGGATAGGTTACAGGTAGACTTGAACATTCTTAGGAAGTGGGCAGATCAATGACAGATGGAATTTAATGTAAGTAAATGAAATTTGCTTTACATGGGAACAAAAAATCCAGTAAGGGACTATTATTTAAAAATTAAGTAAATAATCTGTACTGAAAATGAAAAGGATCTTGGGATGCTGATTGATAATAAACTGAAGCTTTTCCAACAATGCTTGGTAGCAGAGAGTAAGCCAAACCGGATGCCGGGCTGTATTAAAATGTAATGTTGAGGCGAAACATAGGGTAATGCTGACACTTTACAAATCACTGGTGCCACAGCATTTGGATTACTGTATCCATTTCTGGTCACTTTAATATAGAAAGGATAATAATAATAATAATAAGCCTTGCATTTGATACAGCGCTTTTTCACGTCGGGAGGACGTCCCAAAGCGCTTCACAGAACACACTGTAAAGGGAATTGACTGTATATTTGTGGGCGAACGCGGCAGCCAATTGCGCACAGCAATGTCTCACAAAAAGTCGGAGATTGAAAAAGACCAATTTTTATTATTGTTTTTGGTTTTGGAGGGATTATTATTAGGCACTGTGTGGAGTTAGGAAACTTTCCCAAGATTTCGCCCTCTGCCTGGAATTGAACTCAGGTCTCTCGCTTGCAAAGCGAGTGCTCTAACCACTGAGCTACAGGACTCCACACAGGACTATGAGGAGTGATTAGATAAACTGGGCATGTTCACACTGGAGAAGAGAAGGTTGAGGGGTCCTAATATGATTATGGTCTTTAAGATTCTGAAGGGAATAGATAATATAGACCACGCCAAGCTGATATTTCTTGTGCTGAACAGGGGACATGACCTGCGATTGAAAGGGGGTAAATCTGTCGAAATCAGAACAAATCTGTGGAAACACTCAGTGAGCGAACAGTAAATTTGAGGACCTATCTCCCGAAGGAGACTGTGAAAGCAGAAAATGTTGTTTCGATCAAGAACAAATTACATAGATTACTGCCAGAAAATAATATCTCGGGATTTAGGATAACGTTTGGGAGACGACTGCCAGGATGGTGGCAGGTGAAATAGATGGACCGTGGTCTTCTTTTGCCAAGCACATTCTTAATGATTGGAAGTGAAAGCCGACAAGAAAAACCCACATCTGATCCCAGCACTGAATTCAAACATCCCAAACTGCACCCCAGGCCATCATGCCGTGTGTGATTGCTGGCTCCAGTCCAACACTTCAATATCAAGCTTCAACTGAGCCAAATACAAGGTGGTGCTGCTCTCTCCTTTGCTAATCAATTTCAAACCTATTTTAAGGCGGCAAACTTGAGCTCATCAAGCAGATATTAAACAGTGTCTCACTTGCAGGTACGTGAGTTGATGGTCTCCCTGGAAAACACAACCAAATATTAGTTCGATGGGAAGAGTGAAGGAAATGACAGGGTATTGTAGAATATCACAAATTAAACAGTTCACACCAAAATTTAGATCATAAACCCAGTCCCTGATGGGACTGACACCTGTGCAAACACACATCAAATAGAACATGTGAACAGAACAATCACATGTTCAGTGGATTCCAGATGATCACATGTCTTCTGCAAACGGAAATGTATCCGAGGGGAGAATTCAGAAGCACAAACCCCACTCACATTCACCTTCATCGTGCAGAATTACTGATTGATTCAAACATTCAAATGCAAAATCCAGCCCTGAAACAACATTCTCACTGCTCCTGCAATTGCTGTGCTGAAAGTATAACAAATGTGTGTCTCACCTGTCGGCAATGGTTCAGGAATGTTGGCTGAGAAAGGAGGAATGAAAAGTCACTGGTGCAGCAGCTGAAAGCTGACAAGACAAACACTCACTGACTCCAGCACACAATTCAACACCCCAAACAATCTCCTATTTCATCCCATTCTTTACAGTCTCTGATCAGAGCCAACACTGCAATGCAATTCTGAACCGAACGCATCTGGGAATTTTATATTTGAATGACGTTTTACACATTCAGCTCCAGTTGGGTTTGGAAAGTAGCAAATGATTCACGGAATGGCTTGAGAGGGTGAACTGGAAAAGGCAGAAATGATCATTTACAGTGAAATAACAAAAACAACAACAAGATTCCATTTATAGAGTGCCTTTCACGTCAGGAGGACGTCCCAAGGCGCTGTACAGTTGGGTCAGGACCCGAGCAGGAGGGAAATGGTCAGGGTGAGGGGAGGGAAGGGAGGGAGCGAGGAGGGACAGAGAGTCGAGAGGGGAGCTGAAGGCTCGGTCAAAGAGAAAGGTCTTGAGACCGGCCTTGAAGGAGGAAAGGGTGGAAGCGGCGAAGACACTGGGGGATAAGTTCCAGAGCCTCGGGGCTGAGAGGCTGAAGGCCCGGCCACCGATGGTAGGGCGGTTGGGGCGGGGGATGTGGAGCAGACCGGAGCCAGAGGAACGGAGGGTACGGGCAGGTAGGTAGGGGATAGTAGGTCGGAGAGGTAGGAGGGAGCAAGGCCGTGAATGGCCTTGTAGGTGAGGATGAGGATCTTGAAATCGATCCTCTGGGGGATGGGGAGCCAGTGGAGGCGAGCGAGGGTGGGAGTGATGTGGTCGCGAAGTCTGGTGCGGGACAGTACACGAGCTGCAGAGTTCTGAATGACCTGCAGATTGTGGAGGGAGGTGCGGGAAGGCCGGCGAGGAGAGAGTTCCCATAGTCCAGCCTTGAGGTGATAAAAGCGTGGACAAGAGTTTCAGCAGCGTGAGGGGTGAGGTACTGCCGTAGTCTGGCGGCATTCTGGAGGTGATGGAACGCGTTGCCCGTTGTGGCGCGGATATGAAGGAGAAAGGACAGCTCAGGGTCGAACAGAACACCGAGGTTCCTGACCGGTTTTGAGAGGTGGAGAGTGCAGCCTTGGATGTTGATGCTGTCAGCGCCTGAGGTGCGGAGGCACTGACGCGAGCCAATCAAGAGGGCCTCAGTTTTACGCACGTTGAGCTGAAGAAAGTTATCTCTCGTCCAGGACTCGATGTCGGGCAGGAAGTCTGTCAGGACATCGGTAGCCATGGAGTTGAGGGTAGAGGATGAAAGGTAGAATTGGGTGTCATTCGCATACAGGTGGAAGTTAACCACATGTCTGCGGATGATGTCACCAAGCGGGAGCATATAGAAGGTGAAGAGGTGGGGACGGAGGACAGAGCCCTGAGGGACACCGCACGAGACAGTGCGGGGGGCGGAAGCAAAACCATTCGTGGAAACAAAGTGAAGACGGTGGGAGAGGTACGACCTAAACCCCTCAAGGAAAGAGCCTTGAATGTTGAGGTGGGAGGACAAGCGGTGGTGAAGGAGAGCATGGTCGACCGTATCGAATGCTGCCGAAAGGTCGAGGTGGTCGAGGAGGCAAAGGGAGCCCTAGTCACAGATGGTCAGGATGCCATTGGTGACCTTGACGAGGGCAGTTTCTGGGCTATGGTTAGCACGGAAACAAGAATGAAGTGTTTCGAATAATGAGTGGGTGGAGAGGACAGAGCGCAGCTGGAAGGCGACAACTAGTTCCAGCACCTTGGACAGGAAGGGTAGGTTGGAGATGGGCGGTGAGCTTGATAGCTGCGACGCATCAAGTGAAGGTTTTTTCAAGGTGGGAGTGATGATGGCAGTTTTTAAGGGAATGGGAACAGAGGCAGAGGAGAGGGACAGGTTGACGATGTCTTTGATATGTGGGTCAAGGAGTCGGAGCTGGAAGATAAGGAGTGGAGTGTGGATGGGGTCAAGGGAGCAGTTGGTAGATTTCAGGGATAGGATGAGTTTGGTGTCAGAGATTGGGGAAACGGGTTCGAAAGTGCGATGGAGAGGATGGGTAGTAGTCGGAGAGTGGGAGTGAGGGGGTGGGGTGTGGGTGGACGTTGGAGGAGAAGTGACCGCGGAGCGAATTCCCTTGATTTTGTATTCAAGGAAATCCAGCATCTCCTCGCGGAGAAAGTTGGAGGAAATGACCTGCGCGGGTTGGCGTGGGGGACGGAGGAGTCGGGAAGTGGTAGAAAACAGTATCCTGGAGTTGTTTTTCGCCTCTAGGATTATCCTGGATTAGAAGGACGACTTGGCCGAGGCTACAGTGGAGCGGTAGATTTTGAGGAGGTCCAGCCAGAATTGTCGGTGGACCGTTAGGCCAGATTTGACGCAGGTGCATTCAGCTGCCCGCACCTGGCTCTTCAGTGAGCGGAGGTGGGTGGTCGACCAGGGGTAGGTGCGAGACTAGGAAACAGTACGGGAGCTGATGGGGGCAAGAGTATGGAGTGTGGAGTAGAGGGTGTTGTGGAGGAGGGTGAGAGGAGAAGAGGGGTCAGTGAGGGTTGAAGGCCAGAGGGAGAGGAGTTCAGAGGACTCCAAGGCAGCGGTTAGGGATTGTGGGGGTAACTTGTTCCGAAATAGGCAAAACACGGATTCCACACTTGATGTGATAACAAATTACTTTGAAATGAATTGAATAACTGACTCCAAAATTGATACTCAAACATTCTGTGTATTGCAAGAGTTGAAACTTAGACTAAGCAACTTCATTCTGCACTTGAATCTCAATAGAAATACACAATTATACAGCACAGAAGGAGGCCATACGGCTCACCGTGTCTGTCCCGGCTTTTTGAAAAGAGCTGCCCCAATCAACAACACTCCCCCACTCTTACACCCACAGCCATCCAACTTTGTCCTTCTCAAATAATTATCTACATCTCTCTTAAAAGTTGTCATCAAATTGGCTTACACCACCCTTTCAGGCAATGCATTCCTGAACCAACCAACTCGCTTTGTGAAAACACTTTCTGCTCACCTCCCCTCTGTTTCTTTTGACAACTACTTTGAAACGGTGCCCTCTGGTTACAGAGCCACCCACCAGTGCAAATAGTTTCTCCTTCTTCACCCTATCAAATCCTCTCAGAATTTTAAAAACTTCTATTTCATCTCCTCTTCACATTCTCTGTTCCAAGGAAAATAATCCTAGCGTCTCCAGCCTGTCCTGATAACTGAAGTCTCTCATTCCTGTTACCATCCTGGGAAATCTCCTCTGAGGCCCCCTAACCCCTTGACATCCTTCCGAAAGTGTGGAGCCCAGAAATCAATACTGTCTCCAGCTGAGGTTTGCCTCATTTGCCAAACCAGTGTTCTATAAAGGTTCATCATAACTTCCTGACTTTTGTAATCTTTGCCCCTATTCATAAAGCCTATTGTCCCATATGCTTTTTAACAGCTTTATCTACCTTTCCTGCCACCTGAGGATTTACTTATATGAAGCCCCAGGACTCTGTGTTCCTTCAGCCCCTCTAAGATTCCACTATATTGTTTATATTGCCTCTTCTCATTCTTCCTCCCAAAACACATTACATTGCATTTTGTCCATATTATAGGAATTAAACTTCATCTGCCACGTATCTGCCCATCCTACAAGTTTTTCCATGGCCGCCTGCAGACGGCGACTATCCTCCACAAAATGTACTAATCTTCTTAGCTTAGCATTATCTGTAAGCTTGAAAATTCTACTCCCAAAACCCAAGTCCATGTCATTTCTATGGTCAATGGTCAATACATTCTGCATTTCCTGGACTGTAGGTATAGTAAACATGGGGCTCACTCACCAGTTGTTTTCGGTGTTGGAGGGGCTGAGAAAACAAGGAGCAAAGGTCACTACTACAGCAAGTGGAAGCCGACAAGGAAAACACACATCTGATCCCAGCACTCAATTCAAACATCACAAACTACCCCCCCAGTCCATCATTCCGTGTGTGATTGCCGACCCCAGTCTAACACCTCAATATCAACAACAGAAGTCACTGGGAACACTCAGCAACTCAGGCAGTATCTATGGAGAAAGGAAAGTGAGTCAATGTTTCGCTGCCACAAGCCTTTTCAGTTTTCAGTTCTGACGAAGAGTCATGGACCAGAAATGTTGACTCACTTTCCTTACTCCGTACATGCTGTCTGACCTGCTGAGTGTTCCCAGCGACTTCTGTTGTTGTATTCAGATTTCCAGCATCAGCAGTATTCTGCGTTTTGACCTCAATATCAAGCTTTATCTGAGGCAAATACGAGGTGGTGCTGCTCTCTCCTTTGCTACTCAATATCAAGGGCAATCTAAGGCTGAAACTTGAGATGTATGAAGCAGATGCGAAAAAGCAACTCACTTGCAGGGCGGAAAATCCAAGGACTCTCTAGAAAACACAAACAAATGTTAGTCAGACGGGAAGAGCAAATTCAATGGCTGAGTATCGGAGAATATAAAGAGTGAAGCAGTTCACAAAAATGTAGAGAACATAAACCCATCCCTGATGGGAACGACACCTGTGGAAACACACATCAAATAGAACATGTGAACAGAACAATCACACGTTCAGTGGATTCCAGATGATCACATGTCTTCTGCAAACGGAAATGTATCCGAGGGGAGAATTCAGAAGCACAAACCCCACTCACATTCACCTTCTTCGTGCAGAATTACTGATTGATTCAAACATTCAAATTCAAAATCCAGCCCTGAGACAACATTCTCACTGCTCCTGCAATTGCTGTGCTGAAAGTATAACAAGTGTGTGTCTCACCTGTCGGCCATCGTCCAGGAATGTTGGCTGAGAAAGGAGGAAAGAAAAGTCACTGGTGGAGCAACTGAAAGCTGTCAAGACAAACACACACTGACTCCAGCACACAATTCAACACCCCAAACAATCTCCTATTTCATCCCGTACTTTACAGTCTCTGAATTGAATAACTGACTCCAAAATTGATACTCAAACACTCTGTGTATTGCAAGAGTTGAAACTTAGACCAAGCAACTTCATTCTGCATGTGAATCTCAATAGAATCATAGAATTATACAGCTCAGAAGGAGGTCATGCGGCCCATCGTGTCTGTGCTTCCTTTTTTCAAGAGCTGTCCAAATCAATACCTCTCCCCCGTTCTATCCCTTTAGCCCTACAAACTTGTCCTCCCCAAATAATTATCCAAAACTTTCTTCAACACTGTTATCGAATTGGCTTCCTCCAATTTTTTAGGCAATGAATTCCAGATCCAAACAACTCGCTTTGTAAAGCTGTTTCTCCTGACCTCACCTCTGTTTCTTTTAACATCGAATTTAAGTCGGTGCCCATTGGTTACCGACCCACCCGCCATTGGAAATAGTTTCTATTTCTTCACCCTATCGAATCATCTCATCATTTTAAAAGCTTCTATTGTCTCCTCTTAACTTCAACTTCCTCTGCTCCAAGGAAAATAATCTGAGCGTCTTCAGCCTGTCCTGATAACTGGAGGCTCTCATTCCTGTTACCATCCTGGGAAATCTCCTCAGCATCCCTCCAATGCCTTGACATCCTTCCGAAAGTGTGGGGCCCAGAATTCAATAGCGTCTCCAGCTGACATTTGCCTCATTGGCCTAACCAGTGTTCTATAAACGTTCATCATAACTCCCAGATTTTGTACACTTTGCCCCTATTTATAAATCTTCGTGACCCGTATGCTTTTTTATCAGCTTTATCTACCTGTCCTGCTACCTTCAAAGATTTACTTATATGAACCCACAAGTCTCTTTCTTCCTTCAGTCCCTTTAAGATTATACCATCTTGTTTACATTACATCTTCTCATTCTTCCTCCCAAAACGCATTATTTTGCATTTTGTCCACATTATTGGAATTAATCTTCATCTGACGATCTTACAACAATGTCCTCCTGCAGTCTACTAATATCCTCCATTAAACTTATTACCGTTCTCAGTTTAGCATTTCCTGCAAGCTTGAAAATGTTACTCTCTATACCCAAGTCCATGTCATTTATATGTTCAAATGTCAATATATTCTGCATTTCCTGGGGCGTAAGAAAAGTAAACATGGGGATCACTCACCAGTTGTTTTAGGTGTTGGAGGGGCTGAAAAAATAAGGAGCAAAGGTCACTATTTCAGCAAGTCGAAGCCGACAAGGAAATCATTCATCTGATCCCAGCACTCAATTCAAACATCACAAACTACCCCCCAGTCCATCATGCCGTGTGTGATTGCCGGTTCCAGTCTAACACCTCAATATCAACAACAGATGTCACTGCGAACACTCAGCAGCTCAGGCAATATCTATGGAGAAAGGAAAGTGAGTCAATCTTTCGCTGCCACAAGCCTCCATCAAATCGTTTCAGTTCTGAAGAAGAATCAGGCACCAGAAACGTTGGTTCACTTTATTTCTCCGTAGATGCTGCCTGACCTGCTGAGTGTTCCCAGCGACTTCTGTTTTGGTTTTCTGATTTCTAGCATCTGCACTATTTTGTATTTTGACCTCAATATCAAGCTTTATCTGAGGCAAATACGAGGTGGTGCTGCTCTCTCCTTTGCTACTCAATATCAAGGCCATTTTAAGGCTGAAACTTGAGATGTATGAAGCAGATGCGAAAAAGCTACTCACTTGCAGGGCGGAAAATCCAAGGTCTCTCTAGAAAACACAAACAAATGTTAGTCAGACCGGAAGAGCAAATTCAATGGCTGGGTATTGGAGAATATAAAGAGTGAAGCAGTTCAAAAAATGTAGAGAACATAAACCCAGTCCCTGATGGGAATGACACCTGTACAAACGCACATCAAATAGAACATGCGAACAGAACAATCACATGTTCAGTGGATTCCAGATGATCACGTCTTCCGCAAACGGAAATGTATCCGAGGGGAGAATTCAGAAGCACAAACCCCACTCACATTCACCTTCATCGTGCAGAATTACTGATTGATTCAAAGATTCAAATGCAATATCCGGCCCTGAGACAACATTCTCACTGCTCCCTGCAATTGCTGTGCTGAAAGTATAACAAGTTTGTGTCTCACCTGTCGGCCATCGTCCAGGAAAGTTGGCTGAGAAAGGAGGAAAGAAAAATCACTGGTGGAGCAACTGAAAGCTGAGAAGACAAACACACACTGACTCCAGCACACAATTCAACACCCCAAACAATCTCCTATACCATCCCGTTCATTACAGTCTCTGATCAGAGCCAACACTCTGGCAATCCAATTCTCAGCCTAAAGCAACTGGGAATTCTATATTTGAATGACGTTTTACACATTCAGCACCAGTTGGGTTTGGAAAGAAGCAAATGACTCACGGAATGGCTTGTGAGGGTGAACTGCAAAAGGCAGAAACAATAATTTACAGTGAAATAGGCAAAACACAGATTCCACACTTGATGTGATACGCAAACAGTCGGTGTATTGCAAGAGTTGAAAGTTAGACCAAGCAACTTCATTCTGCACGTGAATCTCAATAGAATCATAGAATTATACAGCTCAGAAGGTCATTCGGCCCATCGTGTCTGTGCTTTCTTTTTCAAGAGCTTTCCAAATCAATACCTCGCCCCCGCTCTATCCCCATAGCCCTGCAAACTTGTGCTCGCCAAATAATTATCTTGTACTTTGTTAAAAGCTGTTATCGAATTGGGTTCCACCAATTTTTCAGGCAAAGAATTCCAGATCCAAACAACTCGCTTTGTAAAGTTATTTCTCCTGACCTCCCCTCTGGTTCTTTTAACATCGAATTTAAGTCGGTTCCCTCTGGTTACTGACCCAACCAAAATAGTTTGTCTTTCTTCACCCTATCGAATCATCTCATAATTTTAAAAGCTTCTCTTGAGTCTCCTCTTAACTTCCTCTGCTCCAAGGAAAATAATCTGAGCGTCTTCAGCCTGTCCTGATAACTGAAGTCTCTCTTTCCAAGTACCATCCTAGGAAATCTCCTCTGCATCCCTCCAATGCCTTGACATCCTTCCGAAAGTGTGGGGCTCAGAATTCAATACAGTCTCCAGCTGAGGTTTGCCTCATTTGCCTAACCACTGTTCTATAAAGATTCATCATAACTTCCAGATGTTGTATTCTTTGCCCCTATTTATATATCCTAGTGACCCGTTTGCTTTTTTATCAGCTTTATCTACCTGTCCTGCCACCTTCAAAGATTTACTTATATGAAGGCACAAGTCTCTGTGTTCCTTCAGTCCCTTTAAGTTTCTACCATCTTGTTTACAATGCCTCTTCTCATTCTTCCTCCCAAAATGCATTATTTTGCATTTTGTCCACATTATTGGAATTAATCTTCATCTGCCACCTGTCTGCCCATCTTACAACAATGTCCTCCTGCAGTCTGCTAGTATCCTCCATTCAACTTATTACCCTTCTTCGCTGAGCATTACCTGCAAGCTTGAAAATATTACTCTCTATACCCAAGTCCATGTCATTTATATGTTCCAATGTCAATATATTCTGCATTTCCTGGGGCCTAAGAAAAGCAAACATGGGGCTCACTCACCAGTTGTTTTAGGTGTTGGAGGGGCTGAGAAAATAAGGAGCAAAGTCACTACTACAGCAAATGGAAGCCGACAAGGAAAACACACATCTGATCCCAGTTGTCAAACATCACAAACTACCCCCCAGTCCATCATGCCGTGTGTGATTGCCGGCTCCAGTCTAACACCTCAATATCAACAATAGAAGTCACTGGGAACACTCAGCAGCTCAGGCAATATCTATGGAGAAAGAAAAGTGAGTCAATCTTTCGCTGCCACAAGCCTTTTCAGTTTTCAGTTCTGACGAAGAGTCATGGACCAGAAATGTTGACTCGTTTTCCTTTCTCCGTAGATGCTGCCTGACCTGCTGAGTGTTCCCAGCGACTTCTGTTTTGGTTTTCAGATTTCCAGCATCTGCAGTATTTTGCATTTTGACATCAATATCAAGCTTTATCTGAGGCAAATACGAGGTGGTGCTGCTCTCTCCTTTGCTACTCAATATCAAGGCCATTTTAAGGCGGAAACTTGTGATGTATAAAGCAGATGTGAAAAAGCAACTCACTTGCAGGGCGGAAAATCCAAGGTCTCTCTAGAAAACACAACCAAATGTTAGTCAGACGGGAAGAGCAAATTCAATGGCTGGGTATTGGAGAATATAAAGAGTGAAGCAGTTTACAAAAATGTAGAGAACATAAACCCAGTCCCTGATGGGAATGACACCTGTACAAACACACATTAAATAGAATATGTGAACAGAACAATCACACGTTCAGTGGATTCCAGATGATCACATGTCTTCTGCAAACGGAAATGTATCCGAGGGGAGAATTCAGAAGCACAAACCCCACTCACATTCACCTTCATCGTGCAGAATTACTGATTGATTCAAACATTCAAATGCAAAATCCGGCCCTGAGACAACATTCTCACTGCTCCTGCAATTGCTGTGCTGAAAGTTTAACAAGTGTGTGTCTCACCTGTCGGCCATCGTCCAGGAAAGTTGGCTGAGAAAGGAGGAAAGAAAAATCACTGGTGCAGCAACTGAAAGCTGACAAGACAAACACACACTGACTCCAGCACACAATTCAACAACCCAAACAATCTCCTATATCATCCCATTCTTTACAGTCTCTGATCAGAGCCAACACTGCAATCGAATTCTCAGCCTTAGGCAACTGGGAATTATATATTTGAATGACGTTTTACACATTCAGCACCAGTTGGGTTTGGAAAGTAACAAATGACTCACGGAATGGCTTGTGAGGGTGAACTGCAAAAGGCAGAAAAGATCATTTACAGTGAAATAGGCAAACAACGAGGTGTTCGGATCTGGAATGCGTAGCATGAAAGGGTAGAAGCAGATTCAATAACAACTTTCAATAGAGAAGTCGATAGTTATTTGGAGGACAAATTTGCAAAGCCATGGGGAGAAGATGGGTAGAGGGATTAATTTGGATAGCTTTTTCAAAGAGCCACACGGGCACAATGGGGCAAATGGCTTCCTTCTGTGCTGCATAAGTCTATTATTCTATACACTTGATGTGATAACAAATTAATTTGATATCAATCAAATGACTGACTCCAAAAGTGATACGTAATCAGTCGGTGCCTGTTACAATAGTTGAAATTTTGACTGAGCAACTTGTACATGAGTCTCAATAAAATGGTCAATACATTCTGCATTTCCTGGGCTTTAATTACGGTAAACATGGGGCTCACTCACCGGTTGTTTTCGGTGTGGGAGGGGCTGAGAAAGTAATGAGCAAAGGTCACTACTACAGGAAGTGGAAGCCGACAAGGAAAACATATATCTGATCCCAGCGCTGAATTCAAACATCCCAATCTACACCCCAGTCCATCATGCGGTGTGTGATTGGTGGCTCCACTAGCACTTCAATATCAAGCTTCATCTGAGGCAAATACGAGGTGGTGCTGCTCTCTCGTTTGTTACTCAATATCAAGGCCACTTTAAGGCTGCAGTTAATTGTGTTAACAAGATTTAACAGCAGTGACTTACTTGTGGGATTGTAATACCAAGGGTTTCCTGGAAGAGCCGGATTGAATTTAGAATCAAGAAAATGATAAAGAGATGTTTAGTCACTGGTCTGTGTAGAGATCTCGTTAGATATTGAAAGAAGAAACATAAGATCATCATTTTTCACCTCAAAGTCTATGCTGACATTCCAAAGCAGTGCAATCAGAGGAACTCTGCGTTGTCAGAGGTGTGCTCATCTTCGATGAACCTTTACACGAGTGGTGGCCAACTTGTGGACCGTGGGCCGGAAGTGGCCCACAGGACCATCAAGACGTGCCACAAACATTTATACAAATCTAGGTAATCCCATGATCAGATGGTAGTTACTACATTTACAGTTTTTTTCTTGATTGAATATTTCTTGGTTTATGGCAAAAATTAAGAAATGATCAATCCAGAAAATGTGTTTTGTTGACCGACCATTAAGATTGCTAAAATCCGCTGTCATGTCTGCTGCTCAGTTCGATCTTAAAGATCACATGACGCTATTCGAAAAGAGGAGAGTTTCTCCCAGAGTCGTGGCCGAATGTTCCCCTGATAAAATATAAGATTAGTTTATTAATTTCATGGGTCTTTATGAGATACTGCTTTGCTCAAATTGGCTGCGGTGTTCACCTACAAAGACACAGTCACTACACTTTTCAAAAACGTTGTGAGACATTCTCTATATTGCATCATCAGATACAATATATTGCATTATATTGCAGAGATTATTACTGACATCTGATTGTCACAAAACATTAGCTGAAAATGTATAGAACCGAATGGCCCAGAGTTGCAGGAATCTGCTGCTGTCAGTCTCGACAAGAACATATGCTTCACGAAAAACATAATATAATCGTGACTCACTTGTTCGGGCCTTCACATCAGATTTTCCTACAGAAAAAGGGATTGAAAGAAATAACTGAAATGTGTTATAAGTACAATCGCTGGTACACACACAGTCGATAAATACTAACTCCCGTAGGGCATTCCACCCCTAAACAATTTTTCTACGTAAAAAAAAATCCAGATTTACTTGTTTGCTAACTATCTGAAATCATTGCCGTCTTGTCCCTGACTCACTGAGCAGCAGAACATTTTTCACAATTAATTCTCTCAAATCCTTTCATTAATCTATCACCTCAATCACAAACTTTATCCCAAAGTGTTGCAATTTAAATTTAGCTGGACGCCAGCGTGCTTGAAAGTTCATGAGGTGGATATATTTTCTATTATATTACATTATTATTATCTAAGATATGATAAGGCATTATATCAAATGCAATTATTATTATTATTTATTATAAGTCGCTGTGTTAAAAATAGCCGAAGACTAGCTCACCTGGATGTCTGGTTACAGTTGGTGTTCCTGGAAATACAAGGTTTTAGAATAATGTTACTGTTTGAAAAATTTCTAAAAGCAGGAATGCATTCTGCTACCTCCATTCCCGCCCATTTGTTATTTACTCTAAAAAGATCAGGGATTTAAACACTAATGTTCCCTCAGGGGAAGATTTATTCACCCACTAAATCATCAAGTCTAATGGTTGAAGGAATTATTAGAAAAAATATATCACGGCCTCATTTTCTCCACAGGAGAATCCCAATCTGAGTCAGTTAAACATTTTTTTCCACAAGAAAATCCCAATCTGAGTCAGTTATGTAAGAAATAAGGTAAAATAACGACTTACCTAGTGGTTGATATATTGGAGATTGCACTGGAAAAAAAACATCAAATGTAATTGAAGCTTTTAATATAATTCACACTGTTATTTCCCAGTGCCTGTGCTCCTATTTTTGGCATGCTCCTTCGTACTTCTCGCTTACATTCCAAAAAGGTTGTCACAGACCCTCTTCACCTTTCCTGTGTTCATTCTGATGAAATCCAGCCTCACTCCCACTTGGTCTCTTATCTCATGTATTAAATGGTGGAACTTGGCTTTTCACACAGTGTAATTCAGTGACAAATACACAGTTGCCAGTCAATAACTGGCTGAGGAAGTCATCAATTATTATTATTATTAATTGTCAGAAAATGTAAAAAGAAATGAGCAGCTCAATTTTTCTACAGGAGAAAATTCAACATGTTCAAACAGTTTGAAAGAGTAACCTACCCAATGGTTTGATTAAAGATTTTCCTGAAAACAGATGAACAGTACCAAATAAACGATTAAAAACAGTGTTATTACAATAATAACCTTGCCCTTACATAAAGTTTTTTACGTGGAGCGATGTCTCCTAGTGCTTTACAGAGACAGACTGAAGACACAAGCAAGGCTGGAATATATAATAATAATAATCCTTGCATTTGATATCGTGCTTTTTCATGTCTTTAAGATGTCTCCGCATGCTTCAAGAATATACTGCAAAGTGAATTGACTGTATATTTTGTGGGCAAAACCCGGCAGCCAATTGTGCACAGCAGCGCCCCACACAAACAGCCGTGGATTGAAGTGACCAATTTTTGTATTATTTTTTTCTTGAGGGAATTATTATCAGGCGTGTGGAAGTAGGGGGAGTAGAAGAAAGTTGACCCATGGTCAAAGAGGCCAATTTTTGGAAGAGTTTTGAAAGTAAAAGGTGTGAAACGACGAAAGATCTTGGGATGGCTGGAGTGCGATCCCAGTGGCTGAAAGCTCAGACACCAACAGTGGGGGTCGTGCAGCAAGCACACGTTTGAGAAGCCTAGAAATAGGGTACAAAACTGGGGCCAGAGGATTTGGTAGAGGCTACAGCAAAGCGTTTAGAGGCAAAAGGCAGCCAAACGACAAATTAAATTTAATGAAGGAACAAGTGAAATAATACATTTTGGAAGGAAGAATAAACACGGAAATATATATTACATAGTAAACGTAAACAGAATAGAAGAGTAGAGACCCAGAGGTTAATACAAACAGATCTTTAAAGATGGGAAGCAAGTTATTAAAGCTGTAAACAAAAGCGGTATACAATATAATACCAAAGGGAGAATTGTAAGCTTGTATAAATCTCTAATTAGGCTGCAGTGGTGATTTCAATAAACTTCTTTTTCTGCTTATAAAAATTGGTAAAAGAGAAAAGCTGCAGAAAAGGGAGTTTACTTACCACAAGGCTCACAACGTTTCAAGACTTCATCAAAGTATTCATCTGTGCCACAATTGTAACAACCTTAAAACAAAAATGTTAGATTTAATAGAATGTATTAACATTTGCAGGGAAGAGATGTGAGTAAAAATTAATAAAGAAGGCATTAGTTAACAATAACAAGACAGGGGAAGCTAGGAGTCTGAATGTACTGCAACACAGTGCACAGAGCACAGGGTACAGAGCACAGAGCACAGGGCACAGGGCACAGAGCACAGGGAACAGAGCGCAGGGCACAGAGCACAGGGAACAGAGCACAGGGCATACGGAACAGGGCGCAGGGGACAGGGAACAGAGCACAGGGCACAGAGCACAGGGTGCAGGGCACAGGGCACAGAGCACAGGGCATAGGGAACAGGGCGCAGGGGACAGGGAACAGAGCACAGGGCATAGGGAACAGGGCGCAGGGGACAGGGAACAGAGCACAGGGAACAGGGAACAGAGCACAGGGAACAGGGCGCAGGGCACAGGGAACAGGGAACAGAGCACAGGGCACAGGGCACAGAGCACAGGGCACAGGGAACAGGGAACAGAGCACAGGGCACAGGGCACAGAGCACAGGGCATAGGGAACAGGGCGCAGGGGACAGGGAACAGAGCACAGGGAACAGGGAACAGGGCGCAGGGGACAGGGAACAGAGCACAGGGAACAGGGAACAGAGCACAGGGAACAGGGCGCAGGGCACAGGGAACAGGGAACAGAGCACAGGGCACAGGGCACAGAGCACAGGGCACAGGGAACAGGGAACAGAGCACAGGGCACAGAGCACAGGGCACAGGGCACAGGGCACAGGGCACAGGGAACAGAGCACAGGGCACAGAGCACAGGACACAGAGCACAGGGCACAGGGCACAGGGAACAGAGCACAGGGCACAGAGCACAGGGCACAGGGCACAGGGAACAGAGCACAGGGCACAGAGCACAGGGCATAGGGAACAGGGCGCAGGGGACAGGGAACAGAGCACAGGGGACAGGGAACAGAGCACAGGGCACAGGGCACAGACCACAGGGCACAGGGAACAGAGCACAGGGCACAGGGCACAGGGAACAGGGAACAGAGCACAGGGAACAAAGCACAGGACACAGGGCACAGAGCACAGGGAACAGAGCACAGGGCACAGGGAACAGGGCACAGGGAACAGAGCACAGGGCACAGGGCACAGGGCACAGGGCACAGTGCACAGGGAACAGGGCACAGAGCACAGGGCACAGAGCACAGGGCACAGGACACAGGGCACAGGGCACAGAGCACAGGGAACAGAGCACAGGGCACAGGGAACAGGGCACAGGGAACAGAGCACAGGGCACAGGGCACAGAGCACAGGGCACAGGGCACAGGGAACAGGGCACAGAGCACAGGGCACAGAGCATAGGGCACAGAGCACAGGGCACAGAGCACAGGGCACAGGGCACAGGGAACAGAGCACAGGGCACAGAGCACAGGGAACAGGGCACAGGGCACAGAGCACAGGGAACAGAGCACAGGGCACAGAGCACAGGGTGCAGGGCACAGGGCACAGAGCACAGGGCATAGGGAACAGGGAACAGAGCACAGGGAACAAAGCACAGGACACAGGGCACAGGGCACAGAGCACAGGGAACAGAGCACAGGGCACAGGGAACAGGGCACAGGGAACAGAGCACAGGGCACAGAGCACAGGGCACAGGGCACAGGGCACAGGGCACAGGGCACAGGGCACAGTGCACAGGGAACAGGGCACAGAGCACAGGGCACAGAGCACAGGGCACAGAGCACAGGGCACAGTGCACAGGGAACAGGGCACAGAGCACAGAGCACAGGGCACAGGGAACAGAGCACAGGGCACAGAGCACAGGGCACAGAGCACAGGGCACAGGGAACAGAGCACAGGGCACAGAGCACAGGGAACAGGGCACAGAACACAGGGCACAGAGCACAGGGCACAGGGAACAGAGCACAGGGCACAGAGCACAGGGAACAGAGCACAGGGAACAGGGCACAGGGCACAGAGCACAGGGAACAGAGCACAGGGAACAGAGCACAGGGCACAGAGCACAGGGAACAGAGCACAGGGCACAGAGCACAGGGAACAGGGCACAGAGCATAGGGCACAGAGCACAGGGCACAAGGCACAGAGCACAGGGCACAGAGCACAGGGAACAGAGCACAGGGCACAGAGCACAGGGAACAGAGCACAGGGCACAGAGCACAGGGAACAGGGCACAGAGCACAGGGAACAGGGCACAGGGCACAGAGCATAGGGCACAGAGCACAAAATGGGAGATCTGGAGGCAGTTATTAATAGTGAGGAATTGGATGTAACAACATTAACAGACACGTGGTTACAACCTGGACATGATTTTGGCAATTAAATATTGTAGGATACAATATATTTAGAATTGTTACTGTTGGTGTGTGTCCTGAAACTACCCTTTGCAATCCTGAATCTGAGAATTTGGCTCTGAAAATTGCTCAACATAAAGCCATTATCAACTAAAAGATAAACAAACATATGGTGAAGCATACATAAATACTGAATGGAGACTTGAGCACCTACCTTTAAAGGGGATATTAATATTACATTAACATGATGGTAATTTAACAATTTAACTTCAGATACTAATGTAAGGTTATACAAAAAAAGTGGTATTGGTAACAGACCAATCGGGCTCTTACCTTCCATATTGTTCTTCCCAAAGATTAGGATGTTGCCAGGGCACAGGCACGGTTGATAATGCCACCTACTGGTGCCACTGAGAGAAGTAGCACCATCAGCAGAAATCATTTTATGAGAGTTGAAATAATCACAGTAAACAGCTGGAACGGACAGAAATTAAAGATATAAAATAGCAACTAGTTTATGATGAATGGATACCTCATTCGCCCAAACATTTTTAATCAAAGATAAGAATGGTGGATTAGTTAATTCGACATGACGACAAGATGCTATTTTAGAGGTGGTGGGAATGCCAGCACACTTACATCTGCTTCAAAACAAATAAGATTAAAAAACAATATAAATACATAAATTCAAGCACAATATGCTCTTCATCAAAGAGCAGTGATCTGTAGGGCCATCACAGTCACATGGACACTGTCCTCTCCTGGCACTTCCTGCAGGTAATCCCCACAGGAGTGCAATACGTGGCTGAGTAGTTGTCCATGTCTGGTCAAAGCAATCTGTGTGCCCAATGGAATGGAATGTTTTCTGCGTCCTTTCATTAACAACAACAACAAATTACACATGTATAGCTCCCTTCACATCAGAAAGACGTCCCAGGGCGCTGAACAATCAGGGCTTTTCAGAGCCAGGCTAGGAGTTGGGGGCAGGAAGGGTTGAGGGTAGCGGGCCGGGGATGAGAGAGTGGCCGAAGGCACAGTCGAAGAGAAGGTCTTTAGACGGGACTTGAAACAGGCAAGAGAGGGGGTGAGGCAGAGGGATTGCGGGATAGAGTTTCAGAGTGGAACTAATTAATATGTTTGAACAAATCTATTACTAACAGATATTAAATAATGTAACTGTGGAAACTATTCTTTTCTCTTTGCTTTTTTCATTTTCTTTTAATATATGGAAGTAAGACTTACGGCAAATGCTCGGGGCCCTCCAGTCAATGGCAATGCCTTCATCCAAACAAGCTTTAGCATAGACGGCTATAGCATCACAGAGACACTCACAATCACCAACTAGTTCACAGCCACATCCATCTCGAACACAGTTATCATAATATGGCATCCAGAAGACCTAGGATACAAATCAGTGAACAAATACACCTGTGTGTTTCAGAAATTCTACATCTAGAAATACTATTACTGACACCCAAATACATCCTGCATGGCCTTCAGTCGTTTCCTTCTTTTCATAATTTCTTATCAATCATTTATAGAGATCCTCCATCTCAATTGTCTAAAATTTGCACACCCTAAAATGCCGAGAAAAAGATGACCCAGGAAATCACAAAGGGCAACCCAGGATATTTAAAAGTTAGAATAAAGAGATTGAAGTCAGTCTGTGGAGGGACCCAGACGAGGCAGTACTCACCCGTTTATGACACGATTCAAATACTTTACTGTTAATTATTGCACACATTTTCTCTGCCCATGCCAAACGATATGGATTTTTGTCACATGGAGATGCAATTTCTGTCACATCTTTGCACATAGGATCCTCCTTCCAAGAATTTGCAAAATACAGTACGTTGGAGGCTAAAGATTTGCTCTGAGTTATGTATTCATCATCCAAATTACCGTTGTAATTACCACATAGTCCACATACTGAAAACTGATAAAATACAAGAACAATATTAATAGTGGAAATTATTGCAATGTCTTCGAATTCAAATTAGTTTGTAGAAGTTCACAGCTTGTGCCAAACCCCCAAACACTTCTCACAATCCATCTAGTGTTTCAAATAAAACAAATTACTCACACATTCAATTTTTAACAGCAAACTGATTTGAAAATAACATCAATAACACAAAACAACACGTGACTTGCATCTATAAGAATATATGAATCATTTTAAGGAATACAGTCATTTTAGTTACCTCTGAAATCCTGGTAATTGTGATGTAAGCATTCATATTTTTATTCCAGATAATTATTAGTTCAAGTTTTCCAGGCATTGTAAATTCAAATTTTAGATAAAGTGGATTGTTGTAGACTTTGAATCTGTTTGCTGCACTTTGAGGTGTTGCCCTATAATGGCCATCAGTCAGTTTAATTAGATAATCCTGAAAAAAGGTTGTAACATGGATACATTATAATACGGTGGGTAATGAAGCATGCAGTTTAAAATATATCATGAAAACCACAACTTGCACAATTAATAATAATTCTTGGGTTTGACATAGAGGCTTATTACAACAACCACCACAACAATAATTTGCACTTACATAGCACCCACCGTTGCAGGATAGTGTCTCAATGAACTTAAAAGTCTCAACACGCTTAAAACTCTGAGAAGTCTCAAAGTGGCTCACCTACCATTTACTGTGTAAATTACTGTGTAAGTTGTAGGTGGACACTGCAGCTAATTTGTACATAGCAACATCTCACAAACAACTATTAGTGTTAGGTTTCCCTCACTTTCATATAATTTAATAAATGAAGATTTCCAGGTTGAAATGTAGCTCTAATTCCACGATGCCCTGGAATGCCAGTGTTCGCTTTCTCCCAGCACCTCCTCTGATCAGCCTTGTGAAGTGGCTGTTAAACCAAAGCATGCTATAAAGTTGTCTTTGTTTTCATTCACTGGGGCTTGTCTCTCTAAAATTGAAAGGTCACATTTCTTGTCCGAACATTGCCAAACAATTTAAAATACATCCATGTGGTTGCTGAAAAATGTTTTCTTGGTAGATGGTGTCACTGCTTTAAACAACTTTGATTCACAGCATTAACAAGAGCTACAAGTAAATTCAGTGGCTGTAAGTATAGCAGAGGTGAGTACAAGAACTAGGTAATAAATCAAGACAAAAGTCATTGAATAACACTGATTATATTGAAAAGGTTCCACCATATTCCACTTCCACTCAACCTATAATATACACATGTGTAAATTGAGGCAATTGAAAAACGTGAATCACAGATATAGGTTCCTTACCTCAAAGTAAATCTTTATAGATTTAGTACAGGTTACTCCTGTTGTGCCACAAATTATATTTTCTGAAACTATCTTGAATGATGGCTGCATATGACTAACAGAACATGCATCCTAAAAGAAAAGAATAATAGGACATATTGCTTTATATAAATTGAATGTGTGTGTATAACATATACGTTCAGATAGAGTATAAAGAAACCTAGAAGAAAACTTATGAAATGGAGGATTTTTTTCTCTGTTACCTGAACTAAAGTATATTCACAACTGCCATCAAACACATATTTCTTTCCATCAAAGGTCGTAACGTGTCCTTCTCCATGAATTATACAAGTTGAAGGGCACCTTTTCGGTCCAGTGCATTTCCATTTACCTCTGATGCAGGTACTATTAAAATGTAAAGTTATTACACACAACGAGTACTTGTATTTATATGACACACGTCATGCAAATAGTGTTTCGGAGTGCAGTGCTATAATAATAGTAGTCCTTGCATTTGATACAGTGCCTTATCTCAAAGCGCTTTGTAGGCAAAACGTGGCAGCCAATTACGGGGTTGGACACCGAACGAGAGGAGGCAGAGGGGGAGATGACCGTAAATTCAGTCGAAGAAGTGAGTAAAAAGAAAGAATTCTAAAGTATTTTATAAAGTCCCCTATTTATAATATCTATAACAGTTAGTTGTGTATACTTCCTTACCATTTCTGGCATTCTTTCATTATTGTCTCATTCCGATGATAGTACACACCACTGAATTCACATGAACAGTCCTCAGGAAGAATACAAAGCTCATTCTCATTCAATGCCATTCCATGGGGACATACACAGCCAGGTACACACTGGGTTACTAACTACAGACAAGGGAGTAAACGGATAATCAAGAGAGTCAGTATTTAATTCAAAAACTGTTTTAGACAATAAACTCAAACACTGAAATATAACTTTAAGACCATAAGAACTTGCTCGGCGAAAGAAGACCAAGGTCCATCTAGTTCACATTCCACCAGCCTGGCAGTCACTTGACATGTTGTGTCCCAAACTATATATTGTATCCCGAGATATTATCTTCCAACAGAAATCTATCTAATCTGTTCTTGAAACAAACAACATGTTCTGCTACCACTGTCTCCCGAGGGAGCCTGTTCCATATGTTTACTGCTTTCCACTGAAAGCATTGAGAACCAACAGTTTGCACTTCCTTTGTGCTATTCACGTAAAATAATCCTAAACTTAATGTGCTTGGTAATGGGACATATAAACCTTGAGAGATCTTTACTATTTCTATGCATACACTCAAAACATACACAATGAAGAATTTGAACACTTGATTAGATGAGACTTTCCACTCACACTGGCAGCTTCAGTCGCCAACATCTGACATGTGGGTTGATAAGCAGTTCCATATTCCCCTACTCTCGCATTGTCACAGCTGAAGTAAACTTTAGGGGGGTCACACAATTCTAAAGCAGAATAATGAATGCATTATTAATGAAAAAATATCATGCTTCCTATTTCATTGTGAACAAATATTTTAGGTTTTGAGTATTTAATATTTAGACACATCTGTGATTTAAAATTAAAATGTACAAAATATATATGAACATACAATATGTTTTTCTGCATTTTCATATTTGTATGTATATTTAAAAGAGTAAAAGGATGAAAATGATTTAATACCTTGAGGTTTCATAGGATGGCCAAAAAAATCTACTTTCCCATTGTGACAGAAACTGAGAAATGAACAACAACATTATTTATGCAGCAAAAGCAAAACCAAATCATTCGTGATACAGTTATTATGAGAAAAGACAGTGGAAAGCTTTCACTATCACAAAGCAAAACTCTGCATCGGCAAAGAGCATTTCAATGTCAGACCTGTGAGTGTGGGAGTGTTGGGCTGGTGGGGGAGTGCGGGGCTGGCGGGGGAGTGCTGGGCTGGTGGGGAGTGTTGGGCTGGTGGGGAGTGTTGGGCTGGTGGGGAGTGTTGGGCTGATGGGGAGTGTTGGGCTGGTGGGGAGTGTTGGGCTGGTGGGGAGTGTTGGGCTGGTGGGGAGTGTTGGGCTGGTGGGCGTGTTGGGCTGGTGGGGAGTGTTGGGCTGGTGGGGAGTGTTGGGCTGGTGGGGAGTGTTGGGCTGGTGGGGAGTGTTGGGCTGGCGGGGAGTGTTGGGCTGGTGGGGAGTGTTGGGCTGGTGGGGAGTGTTGGGCTGGTGGGGAGTGTTGGGCTGGTGGGGAGTGTTGGGCTGGTGGGGAGTGTTGGGCTGGTGGGGAGTGTTGGGCGGGTGGGGAGTGTTGGGCGGGTGGGGAGTGTTGGGCGGGTGGGGAGTGTTGGGCGGGTGGGGAGTGTTGGGCTGATGGGGAGTGTTGGGCTGATGGGGAGTGTTGGGCTGATGGGGAGTGTTGGGATGGTGGAAGCAGGGTGAGCGGGATATTGGCTTTGCCCGACATCGACGTCCTGGACTGATCTCCTGGGGACACCTCGTGCTGAGTGCTGTACTATTCAAATTAACAGGAAATAAATGCTTGTGGTTTTAATCCGTGTTGTTTCACTAAATGCGTCTCTCAATAGCACCGATTGGACCTCTGCAATTTCCCATAAAGTTCGCCAAACACCTCTCAACTTTTGGGAAATATTCCCGCACTTTTCTGTTGGTTCAGCGTATAACCTCGGCAGAGTTACATGAAATCACCTCCTGTCTTTAGTTATTCTTAAGGAAATGGCAGTGCTGTGCCTGGCCACTCCCCGGCTGTGCTGAGAATGCCGTGAACAGAGAAGGTCAATACTTTTACAGTTTAATATTTCATTAGTGTTTTTTTTAAATGAAAGAGAAACAACGTATTATTTATTACCATGTTTTGCCCCAAATGACTGCCGTCTGATCAGCAGATAGGACAACACCATCAGGCAGGAAGCATGGACAGCTGGAGGCAGAAACACAGGTGTTTGTTTCATCCAGGTAAGAGCTTGGAGGGCAGTTGCATCCATCTGTTGGGACGCTATTTTCACTGCACTCAAGATTTGGATTGGACAGTGAGAAACAGGTGTGGTTACATGCTTTCGAGTCATAAGTGAATTCCTGATTGTTAGAGCACAGAATCGCTGAAACAAAACAGAAATGTGATTTAGATCATCTAATGGACCATTCACAGGTACAGAACAAAGGTAAATTCTTCTGGATTTGACACGACAATGTTGCAATTGTTGCAAACTGGAAATTAAATGGAAATGTATTCTTGAAGACCATCACACAAAGTCCTCTTATTCCTAAATCCTCTGGTAATAGCCTGTACATAGTCACTTGGACACTGCCCAAATCTCCCTTCCAAACCAAAAAAATGGAATTGTATATTTCGGTTATCATCAGCAAGAGCTAGTACAGAGGTTACTGTACTTTGTTTTCATTCAGACTGACATCCATCCTGATTACAGGACACTAATGTGGGATCCAGGCACCTAGACAGCTGTCAACTCCCACGTTACTTTCCTGTATTTTTAACTATATATTTTCACCTGACAACAAGCTGTTGTCAGGTGACAAAAATCTAAATTAATGTGTCATTCTTCAAGTTAATTCAATACAAAACAACTTTAAAGATTAATCTTTGATAATAAGGAGTACTAATTGAATACCTACTGCACTCTTTTACCAGACTTCTCCAGCCTGTCAGGATTAAGCCTTTTGTGGCACATGCTTGAGCATATGATCCAAGGGCAGCACACATAAAGTCCTGGCTGCTTTCATAATTGCAGGTCTCATATTTGCATCTCTGAAGAAAAACATACAACAGCAAGTTTGCTTATTAAATGTAGAGGAGATCCCGAAATTGCAAACTTCTAACTTAGCAATACTTTTGGTCAAGAAAGTGGTTCTAAGGAGAGCCTTACATTCTGCACATCACTAACAAAACAGGCTCTTTTGATTTCTTGAAAACTGCAAAGGACCCGATTAACCGATGGAGAGTCTTACGGTAGTGGAAACTAAGATTTCAGAAAATTAAAGGTCACTCCCTCTGCCCTGGGGAATTGAGGAGTTCACAATATGGACTTGACTTGTTTATCTGACATCAATTTGACAATAAACTACAGGTAGGCACTCATTGTAGCTGACGAATGTACAATGATAAATTAAGCACGGCCTCAATGTGAGTACTGTTCATTTTCTCAGGTGCCTCGAGTTGAAAATGGTTTGTTCTGATGTAAAGGCCTGGGTATTTACTGCTATCCAGGAGACACACCTTATTATCTGCTTACATACAGTGACAGCGTCGTGAGGCATGAATACAAGTCACAGGCAGAGTTGGAGAGAGCGGTGGGAAGATTGTTGACAAAGCCTTGAATGCTTTTGACAATTCATGGACAAAACCAACAGTTTTGAAAGGCTGGACAGGATGGTCACGGGCTGTTGTAGTATGAGCCGGTACTGAGAATTAAGTTAAAGAGAACTGAGCCTGGCTGCCCAGGGCAGCAGCACAGAAAAGCCACATCAAGTGACTGCTGCTTTTAATTATTAATATGCCAATTCATTTTGAGTGCAATTTCCATCAACTGATGCCAAAGTTTGCTGCAATATTGGTCAGAGTTCCTGTTAATAATTACTGTAAGTGACCACACTTGCGTAGACATCAAGCAGAGAGATTAGAATCTTTGTTATTGTTGCTCTTTGAGCAGTGTTTGAGCTCAATAGTCCTTGTATTCGGTACAGCTTACAGCTTGTTTCACGTCGCGAGGATGTCTCAAAGCACTTCACGAGATTTACTGTAAAGTGTAGTAACAATATAATACCAGAGGTGAACACAGCAGAGTCATTCTTTCAAGCAGGCAATGGAGAAAAAAAGTAAAATAAGTACTTCCTCCCATCAACTGGAAAAAAGTGCACCAAAATCTTAAAGAATGTTTCTTTACCTGATAATAATCTGTAGGATCCACTAAAAAGTGACACTTTCCAAATATGTTGGATGTACTCAACAATACTGAACAATGGGACTGGGCATATATACCTAATAAGTAGAAATTCATTTGTTTTGTTATGTACATGTATCATATTATATCATTATTATATGTTGTAACCTTTTCAAAGCATTCATAATCACACCTCCAATAATAATAGACTTTAGAAAGTACAAACTGTATCTTCCAAAGTTTCTTGCATTATTAGGCAATCCTGTAATATCAGAATCTTAAATACTCAAAAAAGAATTCTGAGAGTAAAAGGTTTCATTACTATCTTCACATATTCTTGAATACCAAAATGTTAATATTCTACAATTGTACTAACTATCTCCTCTGCAAAAAATACAGATGTGCAATATCTTATTCATTGCAGGAGTAGTCCTGAGACACTGACAAGAGCAATGGTACCTACCTAAACCAAGCAGCAAATCATTTACCCATTGGACCATTAAATGCCATTATATGTACAATAACACTACTATTACTCTCAAAACCAGTCCTTTCTTGCTTCCATCATGTCGAACTGACTACTACAATAATAATATTATTATTAATGACTATAATTTCTACTGCGATCTCATAAAGATTGGCAGTCATCAAATCTGATCTAAGTATAGTGTTACATTTCTGTGAACTGTTTTTTTCTGTGGGTAAACAACAATGAAATTACATCTGTAAAGCGCTTTTCACATGGGGAGGACATCCCAAGGCGCTGAACAGTTGGGGATCAGGACCGAGAGTGGGGAGGTCAGGGTTGGGATGAGGGAGGGCAGAGGGGTTAGGAGAGTGGCTGAAGCCATGGTTGAAAAGGAGAGTCTTGAGTTGTGCCTTGAAGGAGGCAAGAGAGGGAGCGAGGCGAAGGGACTGTGGAGTTTGAAAGAGTGTGGGCAGAGAGGCTGAAAGCCCGGCCCTGGGGGGGGCGGATCGGGCGGGAGACCTGGAGAGGGCTGGAGCCTGCTGAGCAGAGGGAGTGGACCTGAGCTGCAGAGTTCTGGATGATCTGCAGCTGTGGAGGGAAGAGTTGGGGAGGCCGATAAGGAGGGAGTTTCCGTAGTAGAGCCTTAAGGTAATGAATAAATGTATGAGGGTTTCAGTGGCATGAGGGGTGAGGCAGTGGCGGAGTAGGGCAATGTTGTGGAGGTGGGGAAAGGCAGAGCGGGTCATGGCATGAATATGGGGAGAATTTACAGTTGAGGGTCGAACAAGATGCCCAGGTTCCTGACTGGCTAGGTGAGGTGGAATGTGCATCCTTGGAGGTTGATGCTACCTGAGGTGCTGAGGCGCTGGCATGAGCCAATCAGGAGGGCCTCAGTCTTGCTGATATTCAGCTGTAGAAAGTTGGCCCTCATCCAGGACTTGATGTCAGACAGAATCGAGGGTGTAGACAGAGAGATAGAGTTGGGTGTCATCCGCGTATGTGGAAGTTGACCCCATGTCTGCAGATGATGTCATCAAGGGGGAGCATGTAGAGGCTAAAGAGGAGGGGACCGAGAACAGATCCCTGAGGAACACCACACAAGATTGGAAAAGAAACCGTTGGCGGAGACAAATTGGAGATGGTGTCAGAGATAAGACCTGAACCACTCAAAGACAGAACTTTGAAGGTTGAGGTGAGAGGCGGTGGAAGAGGATGGAGTTTTCTATGGGTATCGAAAGCAGCAGAAAAGTCGAGGATGAGGAGGCAGAAGGAACGCTGGTCACAGATGGACAGGATGTCATTTGTCACCTTGACCAGAGCAGTTTCCCTGTTGTGAGCAGCACCAATTGGAGGGGCTCATGAAGAGAGGGGCGGGAAAGGAAGGAGCGAAACTGGGAATCAACGACTCTTTCAAGGACCTTGAAAAGAAAAGGGAGGTTGGAGATGGGCCGGTAGTGAGAAAGCAGGGATGAGTCCAGAGAAAGTTTTTTCAGGATGGGGGTGATCACAGCTGTTTTTAGGGGGATGGAAACAGTACCAAATGATAGGAAGAGATTGATAGTGTTGGAGAGTAGAGGGTTGAGGAGGTGGAGCTGGGAGGTAAGGAGATAGGTGGGGATGGGGTCAAGGGAGCAGGTGGTGTGTTTCATGTGTGTTTCCTACAACTTGTAGAATACATTTAGTTGCCAATCTGTGAAATGTGCATTCCAATTTCTGTTTCTTACTGATGCCACATGCATGAGGCTTTCTAGTGGAAATACTGCAAAGGGGCTACTAAGGCTCTGTTCTTTCACTGAGCTTCTGCATACATGCAATCATCACCTATTGAGAATATCAGAGCAGATCCACACACTGCTACTTACTATTTGATTGGCTTAGTGAGCAGGGGTCAGTATCTTTGTCATGAGCACATTTACAGTGTTCAGTAACTCTCCAGGAATCTACAAACAGAGCAGCCGTCCCTTCCCCAATGCCCACACTGCTGCTGAAATCATTCCTGGAGTCGCCATCAAAATTGCCACACAAACCTGCAACCGAATGAAACAGGATCACAAGGTAAGAACATAGGAATTGCTGGACGAAAAAAGACCAAGGTCCATCTGGCTCACATTCTACCAACCTGATGGTCGCATGCGACAATAATGGAGATGTTGATAGCGTTCGTTTTGTAAAACAAAGTCAAATATGCCAGTAATAAAGACTTGTCACTGTGTAAGATCTTTGGATTGAGAATTAATGCTGCTTACCATGAGTGGTAGTAGAGAAGCGCTTATCAAGTACAACATACACCTGAAACACTGGATGAGTCTGGATTTGTATATCTAAGCCAAAGTTGGTAACCATCTGAATGTAGAGGGAAGACTGCCTGTAAATTGTGATCTCCCCTAAAGGAGGGCAAAATAAAGAAACAAGATAAATAATTGCATTGTTTAAAAAAAGCCTATTATTTGAATCACTAATTAAAATAAAAAGTAATTCACAAAAGAGCTAAGCTCATTAAATATAGTTGAACAGAAAGGGTTCCAGCAAGCTCTCTAAAAATAAATTGCTGAAAAAATCCATGGATGGCTTACATACTCTTAAACCAATTACACCAGATACAAAAGATCTTTTAATGTAAAATAAAATGATAAAGTGCTTCAGTACAGATTTTTTACCATCTTGGTAGGGTAATTTCTTGGTGTTTGCATTGACTTCTATCGTGTTCCGATTTGAAATTATGATTTTTTTCTGTGAAACAGATTAAAATAAGCAAATAATGTAATTAGAAAGTGTAGCTTCAAGTGAAATTTCTGAATGTTGTAACAATATGAATACACAATATGTCAACACTGGCTCGAAGATTAAGATTTAATGTAAATATTCAAGAAAACCACATCAAGCAAGGAAAGTACTATATGTAGATTACAATAATCAGCCATGTGAAACATCCTAAGAATAATAATAATCATTGCATTTGATATATCGCTTTTAACCTCTTCTCGACGTCTCAAAGCGCTTCACAGAATATGCTGTAAAGTGAATTGATTGTATATATTTGTGGGCGAAAAACGGCAGCCAATTGCGCACAGCAGCGTCCCACAAACAGTCGTGGCTTGAAATGACCAATTGTTTTTTGTTGAGGGAATTATTACTCCCGGATCCACCAATCGACTAATGACCAGGTTCCTACTTGCTGCGAGGTAAACCGAGGGGTGTGAACGGTGTAAAGGAACTTTCCCAGAATTTTGCCCCACCCCGGAATCGAACCCTGGTCTCTCGCTTGCAAGATGAGTGCTCTAACCACTGAGGTACAGGACTCCACAATGTAATTGTAAACGTACATGGCAGGCAATTCGAGCAAAGCAATGTCCCACAAACAGCCATAAAGCCATAAAGTAAAGTCAATATTATTTAAGGCAGCAGGAGAACTGCTCTTCTCTTCCCGAATAGTTCCAAGGAATCTTTAAACTCTGCCTGAAGCATAAGGGCCCTCAGTTTAGTGTCTCAACCGAAGGACGGAGATGGACTAAAGAACTAAAATACGCTTTCTACACAGTGATTTATTTTTCTTATTTGAACCATCTTTTATTCTACGTTCATCAATGTGCAAAATGTTTATTTATTTCAATATATCATACGTACTTGGTTTGTGACATATATTATGCGTAATAGACAAGTTTCTGAGTATGTAGCACCACATTTTTCAAAGACGGCTTCTATAGCACCATTATTAGGCAACTTTCCACTCTGCATAACAGAAAAATAATATTAGCAGAGATAAATCAACCAAGGGAAACTGATCACTTTACAAATTCCTTCAAAGACCTTCATTATCTGTTGGTAGACTTAATATTTTGTCTCAAATATTTGTTATCTTCTTCAAACTGGAGATAGTTTGTTGCTTTTATTATGAAATTATGCTACTCAACAATGATGAAATATACAGATAATTCCTTTTGATATTTCTATATATTCAGGATGGATTAACGAAACAAGGAACCACACTGTACAAAGTAGAATGACCTTAATCTGGCTCCGCTGACAATTAAGCAGTGGCTACATCAGCAACTACAATCTCAAGGTGCAAAGTATTGTTTAATGGCTTATTCAAATCATAAAAGTACTATATGACCACCTTCTTCATGGGGAACTGTGAATTTGCATTCCAGACAACTTTCTGATGTGGATAATCTCAATAGGAATCATTGGCATTGAAAACCTATCTTTGTTTCTGTTGTACTGCAGCGATCTGAACAGCTTTGATTTTCTAGTTAAGTTACCCTGACATATTGTACGACAGTATGACGGTGGTAAATTTATGTATTTACTCTTTCTCAGATGCGAGCCGAGGGAGCATTTATTCCTTGTCCCTAGTCGCTCTGAGAAAGTAATGAGCCTTTTCTTTAAACCACTGGACCCATGTACTATACATTCAGCTCATCAAAGAAAATGGAATGATTTTTGTCAGTATTATGGTAGTATGTCTCAATAAAGTATGCCTAATTTAATAAAAATGTTAACATGAAAGTAATTATTAGAATAAAGGTATAACTTAATACTGTTTCAGAGCAAACATTTACTTTCATAAGCAGATAGGTGCATGCTCCATGGAATCTGTATGATCTTGAATCAAATGTTGTGACAAAAGAACTTCCTTCAATAGAACATCTTCCTGGACATGGAAGATTAGTGCAATTCCACTGACCCATGACACAAACACTGTAAAAAGAAAACTCTGGATAGTCATCGTTGGAACTAGGAACACACATGTACATGCATGAAACACAAACGTATTCATACGCATGTACACACACGCTCGCACACACACACTCGCACACATACACACACACGCACACACACGCACGCACACACGCGTACACACACGCTCTCACGCACACGCACACACGCGCGCGCACACACACACACATAGTGCCCTGGGGAGAGTGGGGAAGGGGTATCCTATAACTGCAGATTCTCCAAGAGCAACAGACAATGTGGTCACAAAATATACAAATCATGTTGTTTTACCAGGTACTACATCGTGATTCCTTTATCTCCCCAGGAGCATAGACACGACCGTTTAGAAAGCAAGGGCATTTACGCTGAGGTATACATCTTTTGCTCGTGGAAGTATCATCAAGAACCGTTCCTAAGAAAAATGTAAAAGATTTACAATGGGATCCATCTGCACGACTGGGTTGAAAAGGACTATAAGATTGCTTTCAGTCTTTGGTCACATTTGGTAATTTTCACTGATTTTGTCGTCTGCTCACACCCAATTGTAGGCACAGTTTGCGATTTGACATGAAGGGGAGGGAATGCTGCCCTGATATCCAATTGTTTTTTCACGTTCCTAAGGAGGGACCAGAGGGGCCCCACCAGGCGAGATGTGGAGATATGGGTTGTGAGAGCAGGGAAGTGGGGGCTTCTCCCAGAGCGAACTTGATGGGCCTCTGACTCTTCCCTTGTGTATCAATGGCCAGGAGTGATATGGGTTAGCTAACCAATATCATTAGGTTAGGGTTCGGGTTAGCTAGCTAATTCTCCCTCTACCCTCATTACAGAGACCACCCAGGTAGCTTTGTGAACTCAATGTACACTTATCCAGACATAGGGGGGGCATAGATCCTACCAATCTTTAATGGAGTACATACCCCAGTGCTCTACAAATATACAGTCAGTACACTTTACAGTGAAGCACTTTGAGACGTCTCATCAACGTCATCAGTCACTATATCAAATGCAATGATTATTATTACCAATGCTGACTATGTCTCTGAGTCATTATCAAACCGTTTATTCCTTATGTTTTAATGATGAATTTACACTTTCATTTATGTGTTCAGCACTAATTAAACAAAATGGGAATTTCCTAGGATCAATATACTTATTGACATTTACCAGAACAATATACAACAGCCATATTTTTGTTGTTCATAAGACATCTGATAAATAGTTACATTCTAAGAACAATCTGCTTAGAAAGATGTGGTTTCTAGTTTGGTAAAATTGGTGAAATGAAATCACCAGCACTGGAAATGTACAAATCTAAAGCACTGCAAGAATTGTGACCTTTTCAGATAAATACCACTGATAAATCGGATAAATACACTATGTGGAAATGTGCTACCAGCATTCATTATGCAAACATTCATAGGTTTAATAATGAACAGAAAAGTCAGAAATTGTGAACTAAGATAACTAATAAGAGTTTTATTATTTTGGTGTGTGTTGTGCTGCTCTTTCTACATTTGTTAAATTCTGACCAAATGTCCCAGTAATTTTGTCTTATAAGTAAGTATTTTTACCTTCTGAGCAAAAGCAGCCATATGTTCCATAACTATCACAAGTCGACTGTGGGTTTGAACAAGTAGACAAGCAAGGTGACCCACATTCCTGATAGACTTGGTTTCCTGGACAAAGCGCAGGAGCTGGAATAAAGAAGAATTCTTCAAGATTTGGCAAATTTTAAAGTACTGATTTCTTCTTCTTAAAGTCAATAACTATTAACCAAAATTTCATACAAGCAATTGTAATATAGATTAGGAATTCTGCAGCAAACGTTTCCAAGATAAAGAGAAACCTGTTAATATTGCCAGACAAAACCTTGGGCAAGTTTCTTTTCTCCACACAGAGCCTAATAATAATCCCTCCAAAAACAAAACAATAATAAATTGGTCATTTTCAATCTACGACTGTTTTCGCCCACAAATATACAGTCAATTCACTTTACAGTCTATTCTGTGAAGCGCTTTGAGACGTCGAGAAGACGTGAAAAGCGCTATATCAAATGCAAGGATGATTATTATTTTTCTATTCTAGACCTCTAGAAATAAAACCAATAGTTCCCTTTGCCTTTTTAATGGGCAGATCCGTGTATCTGCTTAACAAGGTCTCTGTTCCTTCTGCTCCATGTAATAGTTTCCAATACTGTAATGCTGGGGCAGAGGGGGTAGGATCACAGTATATGGGCTGAAAACATGTAAAACAGCTCTTCTGACTGAGACAGAATTTTGCACAGACCTGTCAACATTCCACAGCTTAAAGACAGACATGCAGATGAATATAAAACCATTTTCAAAGCACATTCACACCAACACATGCATTCTTCTGTTAACAGCTTGGGATATTACATCCTTTGTGTCTTTTTCAATAGTTCTCGTAGGTATGATCATTAGATGATGAAATTAATAACGTGGACAACTTTATAAATTATATATTTCTGCAAACTGAGAAAATGTTAAAACAGGTGGTGGGATATAAGTATTACTTACAGCAGAAAGTGGCATTTCTCCAATTTATAACAGGCTCCAGTAACCTGGAACATTGGCGGGAGTATTCAGATAAAGTCTCACACGTGCATTTGATGTCACCTTTGACAGTACATGTGGTAAGATCTCGCTGGCACTGGAGAATGTAATCTCTCTTTGGTATTTTGCAGAGAGGTGCCACTACATTCAGCAAACGTATGCAAGGAGATTCCTAAAATCAATAAGATAGTGACTGAGGTATGTATACCCACATTCAGCTACTTCAGTTTAATGAGGGAACATATCTTCCAACAAAAGACAAAAGGAGTGGGCATTTAACTGGAAACATTTTAACTCAGATAAAGGTGAAATCAATCAACTGGATTTGTAAAATATAGTTTTGAAAAGCATATAATACTCACATAGTCTTTAGAATATTGTTCCAAATGTGACTCTTTCACAGGTTCACATGTTTCTGATGGATCGTCCACTTGATATTTTCTGGCAAACTCAAAAGGTTTAAGTTTCCGATCTGTGTGAAGATCATTGTTAACGGATGACTGTGTGATGTGGGAAGCTCAAAAACTAGATTCAAGTAATCCTCCAATTTTAATTCTTAATTATACAAACGTTCCAGACAACAGGAATAACAGCTTAACAGCAAGTAATATTTCTAGCTACCTTAACATATATTTTAGTCATTTTGCTTATGCTGCAAAAACCTTGTTCCAATCAAAGTCACTGTGTCTATTTTATACATTTATTTTTATTTCCATTTTCTCCTCTTCATCCCTTCAAGACCACCATATGAAGCTGCACAGTCTCTGCTAGTACCACCATGAGGCTAGCTGTGCTACTGAGGGAAATGTGTTCGTTTTGATGATCTCACTCTGCTTTACACTGCAACTAACAACCTAGACAAGATCAGCACTTCCCCATAGGGAAGAAGTAAAATGGGATTATCAGTGTTAGCCATCCTGTCCACCCAGAACCTCACAATCCAGATTTGTAGCACATCAGTACACCACCCTGAGTGAAGGATACTACATCAATGCATGCTGTTGTTGTGGAATTGGACTGACTCGTCACCGAACCTCTTTATCAAATAATAATTGTCCAATAATAAACATGTTGTTACCTTCAGATTCAAACTCATTCAGTTGAGGATGCCCATTGAAATCCCCACACAAGCCACAGGTTTTATTTCTAAATTCATCTCCAAGCTCAACCTAACATAAAAGATAAATCAAGTTTCCTGTGATTAAGTAGGGCAGATGGCTGATTGGAATATAATCCTTTCACCTCTTAGGGTAAAGAATACACGTAATTACAATATTTTATTCTCTCTGGATGTATAACATGTATTTAAAGTTTTAATATAATTGCTCAAATAATTAGGCAAACGTTACATACCATCAAGTAATCTATGTAATTCCAGGCAACAACCAGATCAAATCCCTTCTGTTTGGCCATCAGTTTCATACAGTCTCCAAATGCCTTGATCTGTATTCCATTTAAATTATACGGTAAAGAAACACTTCTGTCAAATAAGGAAAGTTTTTAATTAATGAAGCTGTATTTGCAATGTAAAGGTAGCATGCAAATTATATGTAGATGATACAATATATCTGCAAACTCGTTAATTTAAAATAACTTGTTGACTGAAGTGATAACTTTTGTAACAATTTCAATAAAAAGTGCAAGACTCCCAATATAAACTTCCTTTCCACTTGTTTAATTAACCTAGCTCTAAATTGTATTGTGTATAACTTTCTCATTTAAAGCCTAAAGACTTATTTTTGATGTTTCGGTACTCTCTTGAGCATTTTCTGGCCATCAATGACCCTATCCAAAAATACATCGTTGAACAGTATATTCTAGTTGAGGCAGTTGCTCAAAACAAAACTTATATACAACAGGAATTGCTTTACCGTCTTTGAATCAATAATGAGAACACTGAAATTTGGATTCCAAATCTTAGGAACAAACAGTCCAAAACAATCACAACTACAGTATTATAAGCTATATAAGAGAAGAGTCATGAAATGCAGGACCATAATTCAATTCACAAAGTATGTTTCTTTACTCCAATCTAGTTGTCATAGAACTATATGAAAGCAGAATGCTCCTCATATATTCTAAAATCATGGTCACTGAATTTTAAGTAAAGTTTGGTAAATAATGAACTTTTGGAATAATACATTTAATATAGCACCTTTCACGTCAGGAGGACTTTCTCAAACTACTTCACACGATGTACTGTAAAGTCTAGTACCTGTGTATTTTGTAGGCCAATGGTACTCTCATAGAATCATAGAATTATACAGCACAGAAGGAGGCCATTCGATCCATCGTATCTATGCCGGCTCTTTGAAAAGAGCTATCCAAATCAATCCCACTCCCCCGCTCTCTCCCCATAGCCCTGCAAACTAGTGCTCCCCAAATAATTATATACATCTCTCTTAAAAGTTGTTATCAAATCGGCTTCCACAGCACTTTCAGCCATGGCATTCCAGATCCAAACAACTCGCTGTGTAAAAAAATTCTCCTCCCCTCCTCTCTGTTTCTTTTAACAATTATTTTAAATTGGTGTCCAACTGTTCAGCGCCTTGGGACGTCCTCCTGACGTGAAAGGCGCTCTATAAATGGAATCTTGTTGTTGTTGTTGTTGTTGTTACCGACCAACCCGCCTGTGGGAATAGTTTCTCCTTGTTCACCCTGTCGAATCCCCTCATAATTTTGAAAACTTCTATTAAGTCTCCTCTTAACCTTCTCTGCTCCAAGGAGAATAATCCGAGCTTCTCTGTCTCTCCTGATAACTGAAGCCCCTCATTCCTGGTACCATCCTGGGAAATCTCATCTGCACCCTCTCCAATGCCTTGACATCCTTCCTCAAGTGCGGTGCCCATAACTGAGCACAGTCTCGAGCTGAGGCCTAACCAGTGTTTTATATAATGGTTCTTCATAACTTCCTGACTTGTGTATTCTATGCCCCTACTTATAAAGCCTAGTATCCAGATTTTTTTTTATCAGCTTTATCTACCTGTCCTGCCACCTTCAAAGATTTCCTTATATGACCCCCAGGTCTCTCTTTCCTTCACCCCCTTTAAGATTGTACCATCAGCGTATATTGCCTCTCCTCATTCTTCCTCCCAAAATCCATCACTTCGCATTTCTCCACATTAACCTTCACCTGCCCTGCGTCTGCTCATCTTACCAGTCTGTCTATGGCTATTGTTGTGGTTATTTTGAACAGGCAAAACTGATGACTAGTTCAGCAGTACTAAATTAGGCACAAAGAGAGAATAGTGGGTAAATTCTAACAATCTATTATGTAACTTTTTTCAGGATGGTGTGTGTGAGGAATGGTAGTTGAGAATAATTCTAGTTAATTTAGATGATGAAACAATCCAGAGCTTTTATCATGTCCAGGCTAGATTCAGCCAACTCTCTGCTCCCTGGACTTCCAAACTCTTCCCTCCACAAGCTGTAGACTATCCCAAACCATGCAGCTCGTGTCCTCTCCCACACTGGGCTCTACAAACCCCATTCTCACCTGGCTCCACCGGCTTCCCTGCCTCCAGAAGATCAAGTTCAAGATAGTTGTTTGCACTTTTAAATACAACAACAACAACAACAACTTGGGTTTATATAGCGCCTTCCATGCCATACAGTGTCTCAGAGCGCTTTATAGTAACAGATCCCGGGGCCGAGCCAGGGGGAGGTGGGGAGGGGGAGGGGGTGGGGGGGAAGGTGACCAAAGGCGCGGTCGAAAAGAAAGGTCTTCAGCAGAGACCTGAAAATAGGAAGAGAGGAAGAGAGGATACGAGGCGCAGGGAGTGAGGAAGGGAGTTCCAGAGTCTCGGGGCATAGTGGCTGAAGGCACGGCCGCCGAGGGTGGAGCGGAGGACTCGGGGGATTAGGAGGAGACCAGACCCGGAGGAACGAAGGCAATGGGTACTGTTGTGAGGAGAGAGGTCAGAGAGGTAGGGGGGTGCAGAGGAGTGGAGGGACTTGAATACAAGGGTGAGGATCTTGAAGTCGATCCTCTCTGGGACAGGAGCCAGTGCAGTCTGGCCAGGAGTGGGGTGATCGGGGAGCGGAATTTGTTTGCGGGTGAAAATTATTTGGATTTTATGGATGGTGGTGGATGGGAGACCGGTGAGGAGGGTGTTAGAGTAGTCCAGCCGAGAGGTGACAAAGTCATGCACTAGGGTTTCAGCGGCTTTCGGAAAGCGTTATTGGTGGAGACAGGCAATGCGTCAGAGGTGGAAGAAAGCGGTGCTGGTGAGGGACCGGATGTGGGGGAGGAAGGATATTTGGGGGTCGAATCTGACGCCTAGGTTGCGTACGGGTTTGGAGAGTTTTAGGGGGAGGTCGGGTAGGTGGAGGAGGTGAGAGCCGTGAGATTTTAGACATTGACGAGAGCCAAAGAGTATGGCTTCCGTCTTGTCAACCTTCAGCTGAAGGAAATTTGCGCTCATCCAACCCCTGAGATCTGACAGGCAGCTGACAGAACATCAGGGAACAAGGGGTCACAAAGAGAGGTGCAAAAGTAGAGTTGAGTGTCCTCCACATACATGTGGAAATGTACCCCATGTCTGCGGATGACATCCCCAAGAGGGAGCATGTAGATCGGAAAGAGGAGGGGGCCAAGGATGGATCCTTGGGTTACCCGCAGGTGACCAGGTGAGAGCAGGAGGAGAAGCCGTTTGGCGGTTTGTGAGGTAGGACTCGAACCAGGCGAGTGGAGTCCCAGTGAGGTGGATGATGGAGGAAAGGCAGTGGAGGAGGATGGCGTGATCGACTTGTGGAGAATGCGGCGGAGAGGTCCAAAAGGACAAGGAGGCAGAGGGAGTCCTGGTCACAGATAGAGAGGATGTCGTTTGTGACTTTCACAAGCGCAGTCTCTGTACTGTGGGCGGAAACCCAGCCCAGAGGGGTTCGAAGAGGGAGTGGGAGGAGAGTGCGTGAAATTGATTGGCAACAACGATTCTAGGACTTTTGCGAGGAAGGGCAGGTTAGAAATAGGGCGGTAGTGGCTGGGGTTTGAGGTTTGAGGGAAGGTTTTTTGAAGGAGGGGGGTGATGACAGCAGTTTTGAGGGGGGCAGGGACTGATCCGGAGGAGAAGGGACTGGTTGATGATATCAGCCAGTAGTGGGCAGAGGAGGGAGAGCTGGGTGACCAGCTAGTTGGTGGGGAGGGGGTCGAGGCAGCAGGTAGTGGGTTTCATGGAGGTGATGGCGGGTGAGAGGGAGGAGTGAGAAATGGGGAGGAAGGAATGTAGGATGAGGGTGGTTGTAGGAGCAGATGATGGGGAGGGTGAGGGGGACGGAGAGGGGGTGGTGGTGGGTGACAAGGGACAGGTGGATGAGGCTGCCTTGTGGATGTTGTGAATTTTAGATGAAAAAAGTCCATGACTTCCTTGCACTTGTCATTGGATGTGAAGATTGAGGAGGAGGCCAGAGAGGGGCACGGAGGAGGTAGTGGGTGGTGGAAAAAAGGATTTTAGGGTTGTGTTTAGCCTCCAAGATGATGTTGGAGTAGAAACCGTTTTTGCGTGTGTCAAAGAACGGCGGTAGCTGTGGAGATGCTCGATATTTGAGGATGTGAGGGCCTTTGTGAGGGTCTCAGGGGGTAGCCTTTTCCAAGGGCGGTAGAGAATGATTGAGGGCTTGCCGGAGGAGAGAAGGATGTGAGAGGACAAGGAGATGAGGAATTGGTCCGAGATGGCATTGTCCACTATGCTGAGGTCGGAAATGTCAAAGCCGTGGGTGATAACGAGGTCGAGGGCATGACCATGGTTGTGGGTGGGTGAATTTATATGGAGGGTAAGGTTTAGGGAGGAGAGGAGAGCAATGAAGTCGGCAGAAGTAGTGCAAGGGGAGTTTAGGTGGAGGTTGAAATTGCTCATTATGAGCAGGCGCTCGGAGAAGAGGGACAGGGAAGAGAGAGTAGAGATGTCTGTGTGGAAGGAGCCGGGGGGCTTAGGGGGTGGTAGACAAGGAGAATTTTCAATGTGGGAGAGGGGTGGTTGAGGGTGAGGTGCTCGAAGGAGGGGAAGCAGTCAGAGGAGTAGGGGGTGAGACCAAGAGAGGCTTTAGAAATGAAGGCCACCCCGATGCCACGTTGGTTTGGACGGGGGGTGTGGTGGAAGGTGTAGCCTGGAAGGGAGGCTTCCACTCGGGGGACGGAGTCAATGGGGGAGCCAGGTTTCGGTGAGCCCAAGAATGTCAAGGGGCTCGTCCAGGATGAGGTCATGGATGGTGAGGGCTTTATTTGAAAGGGAACGGACATTTTGGAAGTAAATGTGGGTGGGTTTGCTGGAGGGAAGGGGAGAGAGGGGAGGGAGGAGAGAGTGGTGCAGAGAGGATTTTGGGGTGTACAGGAGAGATGGTTGTGGAGAGTGGTGTGAGTGGAGAGTTGGGGAGGGTATGTATGAGGGAGGGGGGAGTTGGGTTTGCCTTAAGGAGGCGGTTTGTGCGGAGGGAGTGAATGATGGGACACTTGGGGTCGCTGCTCTGGGACAGCCAGTGCCGGGAGCCACGATGGGCCGGGTGGAGGATGCCCAGGCTGGAGCAGAGGGAAGTGGTGATGGGGTCGAGGAGAGAGAGGTGGGGAGGGCGGTGGAGAGAAGGACAGAGGGGGAGTAGCGGATAGAGGGGGGTGGGTGGAGAGACATAGAGGGGGAGGTGGGAGAAGAGGCATTTGGAGTGGAGGGGGAGGGGGAGGCTCGGGTCGGGGCGGCAGCCAAAACGTGCATCCACAGACCGGGAGCGAGCGATCAGCGAGTCAGCATCAGCCCTCAGGCTCCGCCTCTCAGGTCATGGCCAGGATGGCAGTGCCAGCGGCTGCCAGGACATTGTTGTTGTTGTTGTTGTTGTTGCTGCTGGGTTTTTTAAAAAATTTTTAACTGTGACGTCACTTTGTGAATCACTTTCCTCCCCCCCCAGCCCCGCGCTCTCCCACCCAGCACCCGCGCTCTCCCACTCCCAGACCCGCGCTCTCCGACCCCCCACCCCGCGCTCTCCTGCCTCCGCTCCGGATTCTCTCCACGATCTTGCCCCAATCTACCTCTGTGACCTTCTTAAACCCCACCAACCAGCCCATTCCCTCCACTCAACAGGCATTGACTGCTTCACATCCCACATCCTGTCCACCTCACATCAGCAGTTCAGCTTTCAGCCTTTCTGTCCCCAGTTTCTGGAACTCGATCCTAGAGTCCCTTTGCCTCACCTCTCCTTCAACCTCTGTTTCAAGACCTTCCTCTTTGATCATGTCTGCGGTCATCTTCCCCCACCCCAAACCCTCTTGGCCCCACCCTCAGAATCCAACTCCAACTGTCCAGTGCCTTGGGGTGTCTTCTTGACATGAAATCTGCTACATAAATGCAATTTGTTGTTATTGTTGGTGAGACATACCTTTTGTTATTCACTTGAATATTTCCATTCTCAATTACGACCTGAATGTTAAGTATCTGGATTGAGATTCGTTTAATGTATCCATGACTTCCTCTACGAATCTGAATGTTGAAGCCTGAAAAGCTGTCTGAACAATCACTGACAAATATATAATTGCACTTCGAGGAAAAGTCATACATGTAATTGTCAAAGGTATTGAAATGATCAGATCCCCACGTGGTGCAAGTTGCTGTAGTAGGAGCTGGGGAAGAAACAAATCAGATTGAGTTACCAATCAATTAGGATTATACGACAGTCTTTAATAATTTTGTAATTTCAAGTGAATTGTATTTCAATCCACCCACATTTTCAGCCTCTCTGTTCCTTGTACTTTGTTCACCAGTAAGCCCATAGAATCATTCTACTAATCTCATCGGGCTCCCCAAATAGCTCATATTTTTAGGTTTCAGATAATTATCATAACATTTAAAATTGTGTGGACTTTTGGAAAATTTGGAAACCAATTGCAAATGTGTGTCTTTTTCAGCTTTTTTTGTGCAGTGGAAAATTAGCCTCCAAATTATCACTGAATTTCTGCATTTGTTTTCGTAAACTCAAGCCTAAGAATCTCAAACCTCTGATGTCCACACGTACATTTTCCACGTACATTTGACGTACAGGGTCACTGGGTAATTTATAATGCTCCCTGAAGCATCCAGGCTAGCAGGAGCATACTCCCCACTGCCCTTCTTTACCACAGTAATCAGACTGAAGATCAAACCTGGAATCTCTCTGGTTTGGATGGGTCAGCAACACATCAGATGGTCTTTTAACCGTTGAGACATTGAGGAGCAAGTGAACTGTACGACAACTCTAGATTGATAGCAAATTCTAAAGAGCTAGTTTATAGACCATATTATGAAATATAAGCTTGTGTATTGACAAATGTTTATAACGTTTATAATACTGAAATAATCCAGTCTGCAATGTACGTTAAACATTTAGCCTCTTTCATAAAAAAGAAATATCTATCAGTGTTTAACAAAATTAGATGAATTAAATAATGTTATCCTGGTTTATATTCTTTCCGCATCCAAATCAACAACATTGTAAGTAGGCATAAAAGGCAGCCAAATTGCATCAGCAATGTCGAACAAACAACGTTTTGGGTCCACGCCCCTTAATCAGAACAGTTGATTCACTTTCCTTTCTCCATAGATGCTGCCTGACCTGCTCAGTGTTCCCAGCGACTTCTGTTTTTGTTTCAGATTTCCAGCATCTGCAGTATTTTGCATTTGTTGCGTTGAGCAGTAAATTATTTAACATTTTGGGGGTGCGTTTAGATGCAGAAAGAACATAAACCAGGAAAACCAGGGGAAAATCGCCACTAATGTTGGAATTTATTATATCTGATAATATTGAGGTTCCAACCATGTTTCGTGTTCTAGAAGAATTGGTTTGGATCACAGATCAAATGAATCTTTAGGTCAAATAAATCTTGTCAAGTAGATCACCGACTACACCTGAACAAAGCTGGCACCATTCTGCTCATTGGCAAAATAACTAGGGCTGCCGCAGAGGATTTAATTAATATGGTTGGAAATGGGAAGGAACATGATGTGATAGGAAAGGCAAGTGGGGATAGGAACATGCAGAAAACAAAATCCGATTTATGTAGAATATAAACACCGGCATAGCCTGGTGCATTTTTTGTAATTCTTTATGAAGTGCCAGCAAGTTGAAAGAACAATTCACTCAGTCCAATTAACCTGCCTGTCGCCATGCCCCTGTTACTCTTGAGCTTTCTCCTGACTTCCCTTTAGCGGATCTGCCTCAATCACCACATTCTGCAGGGAATTCCACATCCTAATAACTCTAAAAAAAATTGCCTCATCTCCCTTTTGCTCCCTAGCTAACACTCTGAAATTGATGCCTTCCAGTCAAATTAACTGTTTCCACAGTATCTGATAATACAGGGTGAACAAAAAGTTGTGATAACATTATAATGTCTAATAAGTCTTAAATAAATGATGATATTTTTGTTTTGTTTTAGATAATAGGGTGGATCTCATGACTTTTTGATCAGTCTGCAGCACTTGCTAATAATGTACCTTTCGTATTATTTGTTTATATTCCAAAGATTGTCATTCCATTTGGCTACTTTGCCTAATGTACCTTTTATGTTAATACTTTTAAAAACCTTTCAGGGGAAATAAATACTCACTGTAGTAAAGCCGCTGTGAAAAATGTCTCCTATTTGAGGTAGTCTGCACAGACACTGGAAAGGCTATAAACAAAAGAATATTTTTACAACAACAAATTACACTTATGCAGCACCTTTCGCATTGGGAGGATGTTCCAAAGCACTGGTCAAACAGGAACGTCTTGAGACGGGCCTTAAATAATAATAATAATCCTTGCATTTGATATGGCGTTTTTCACGTCTTCTAAACGTCTTAAAGGAGGCAAGGGTGGGACTGAAGGACGAGCGAGTCGAAGGGACTATGGAATGGAGTTTCAAAGGGTGGGGGCAGAGAGGCGGAAAGCCCAACTGCCAATCGTGGGGTGGGCCGGATATGGGACATGGAGTAGGCCGCAGCCTGCTGAGCATAGGGAATGGGTATATGGGGTTAGCAAGTCACAGAGGTAGGGAGGAGTAAAGCCATGGAGGGCTTCGAAGGCAAGGACAAGGAATTTTGATCGCTATCCTCTGGGGTTTGGGGAATCAGTGAAGCCGGGTGAGGATGGGGGTGACAGCGTCATGGAGCTTGATGCTGGAGAGGAAAGGTTTAATCAAACATAAGAAAGTCAGGAGATAGAAAAGGCCATTTAGACCATCTAGCTCATATACAACCCACATACAAATGATTCCATCATCGACTTTTAAACTAACTTTATCAATCTCCTGAGAGATAACCATGAAAGTTCTGTGAAATTTCCTCTATATATGAAAATGATCAAGAAAAATCTTAAGGGATTAATCCAGCATTAAAATCTGAACTATTCAACCCTGACTGCTCCCTGCACTAAAGGCATCCTGTCCAGTAGGGAGAGACTTTGATTTTCTACATACAGTGTATCCTCATGGAGTAGTTGGACCAAATGGTCTGCTTCTGTGAAATACCAGTCTATGTTATACCATGCTATCCATCCTTCTAACCGTGAATCCATTTATTAAACAAAATATATCTATTTATTTACTAGGCACAGTATCAATTGTATTTTAATGGGAAGTCATTTATCTTACCAATCTGATGGTATCAAGGACATAATTACTGTATTGTGTCTGATGTTTAATTATTTCAACATAATGAACATCAGTATCTATACTAAATTCTATTTTATTTTATCCAGTACTAGATTGGAATTAATAAATGATCAGTGATCAAAATGATTAATTGAAGTCTTGACTAAACAGTTCCAGGCACTTGTTCTACAAAGCTTATAACTCTTGTTTCACTTCATCCAAAACTAAACCACAGCAGATAGTCCCTCGTGAAAGACTCACATGTGAGACCAAATTCAATCAATGATAGCTGCCTCAAGGTTAAATCTGCAATGGTGTGCATTTGATGGCATCCAAACAATATTAAATGGCTCCCTCTTCAGTATGGGCTGCTTCTTGACAAATCCGAGCTCCAGTATTTCTCTGTGAGATCTTTTGCCACTTCCATTATGAGTAAACGTGGTTTTAGGCTTTGTAAAGTCTAGGATCAGTATGTAGCTCCTGTATTTCTGGCATAAAATGGAGGTCTGGCGAGCACACCATACTCTTCAACACTTCCATTAAGCTATAACAGGTACGTAGTGTTCATAGTTACACTGTGTACTAGCACATTTACCTTTGTTTCTGATATAATCAAGATCTTCAGAACCAACATACTGTGACTTGCCTGAAACGAGAGTAAAATAAGTCCAGTTATCCAGTTTGCAGTCATAGTTCCTATATGGAAAGCTTGTGTGTTAGTTAGGTGGTTGAGAATAATTGGTCTGCCACAACAGATTGTGGCAATATTGGTGACCAAGGCTCCATGGCATCTCAACTCCAACACCGATTGTAACCTTTCCTCAGAGTAAACTCTACCATTGCTAGACTAGATGCCATGAGTCTCCACCCACCAACCTTGGAGAGTCAGGAGACACATAGGCAGTGGTCTTGAAGAAATCTTTGGTTCAGAGCTATCTATAAGCTCTAATCCACCAGCTGCAGAAAGGTATACCGTGTGCACAAATCACAAAGCAAAAATATTGAGTAACATCAGGAGAAAATAAAAGGGGAAATTGAGAGGAAAAATGCAAATGTTCCACTGTATATAGTAAAAAATACATGGTACCTGAAAATGAGTTATTTATAAATAATCAATCAACATTAGGCTGACACAAATGAAACCATTTGGAAAGGAGTTGGGAAAATTCTACATTAAATGTTAGTTAAACCTCTGCTGCACTAGTATTTTTTAGGCTCTATGACCCTATCACCCCCATCCTCAACCGACTCCACTGGCTTCCCATCATACAGAGGATAAGGTTCAAGATCCTATTCCTCTCCTTCAAAACCCTCCATGGCCTTGCTCCTCCCCTAACTCTGTGACCTCCTAATCTTCTATCAACCTGCCCACTCCCTCCGCTCAGCGGGCTCCACCATCTCGCCCGCCCCACCATTGGCAGACTTTCAGCCACTCTGTCCCCACCCTATGGAACTCCATCCCTCAGTCCCTCCACCTCATCCCCTCCCTTGCCTCCTTCAAGACCCATCTCAAGACCCTTCTCTTTGACTGTGCCTTCAATCACCCTCCTTCCCCCCCCACTGCCCTCCACCCTTCCCAATCCCGACCCTCAGCTCGGGTTTAAAACACTGATTGTTCAGCGCTTGGGATGTCCTCCTGACATGAAAGGTGCCGTACGCATGTAACTTTGTTGTTGTTGTTGTATTCAGTAAGTTTGTCCTGTTTTATCTTCATGTTTGTATCAGTGTTTGCATATTTGGCTGGAGGCCTGGAGAGGAGAACATCACAAACCCTGTCACTTGGTGACCACCAACGCTCAGTTATCTAAATGCCAGAAGCTGCCAGACATAATCCACCAAGGTGAGATGCTTACGCCAATATTTCCCTCCCTCCCCATGTTGGCCAATTCCACACTTGCCATTTGGCAGTTCTCTGCTATACACTGTCCAAATTGGGACTTGAACATAATGGGACTGAAACTTGCATTCATCCCTACACTATGCCAAGCAGCATTATATAATATAATAATAATAATAATCCTTGCATTTGATATAGCGCTTTTCATGTCTTCTGTACGTCTCAAAGCGCTTCACAGAATATGCTGTAAAGTGAATTAACCGTATATTTGTGGGGGAAACGCGGCAGCCAATTGCGCACAACAGTGTCCCATAAACAGTCGTAGATTGAAAATGACCAAGTTATTATTGTTTTGTTTTGGAAGGATTACTATTAAATCCAGTAATACTATTGATAGAAAACAATGCAAAATTGTCAATGCTTTGCAATGAAGTAAATTGTTTCATTTGTAAGGCAACTGCAGTAAATATTGAAGTAAGCAAGAAATAAAGCTGCTAGGACACAATCTTTGGTGGACGGGGTGAAGCCTTTGGTAAGTTTCCTTACTCCACATGCCTGTTTACCTAGCAGTAAGTAGGAACCCGGTTGTTAGTTGATTTGCTGATTGTTTTCCGGGGGTATTGAACACTCCCCCAAAAATTGGTCACTCAATCTACGACTGTTTGTGGGACGCTGCTGTGTGTAATTGGCTACCGTGATTTCGCCCGCAGAATATACACTTTACAGTATATGAAGCGTTTTGAGACGTCTGAACGATATAATAAGGCTGTATCAAATGCAAGTATTATTATCATTACCTTTGACATTTTACAACAATAACAACTTGCATTTATCCAGCGTCTCAGTATGCTTGATCCGAGACACTACTGTCAATTTGATGCACTGTTAGGCAATCTACAACTGATACTGTGTTCTAGTTATTTTGATAGGAAGGGGAGCCATTGTGGAACTTAGTTCTGGCAAGTTACTTCTGAAAAATTACAGCAGCTTAGTTCATTAAACTGATGTTTTTTTATCCACTAAGCTCTTATTGTGTATGACTGGGAGCCATTGCTGTGCCACTGGAATCACCATTATTTACATGGTTATAATAATTTTGGAGGTTAGAATCATGTCAAAGATGTCCACATTTACCGATATACCAATGACACCCAAATCAAAGCCATGGTAAATGATAAAAGTCACCTTTCTCCATCTCACATATCTCTCAATCCTCTTCACTGTCAAAAAAAAATCCAATTCTTATGTGAAACTGCCCACATTATTGGTTTCCACCAACTTTCTGGATAAATTGCTGTGCAAGCGAACTATCCTCTGTTATAGTAATTAAGCAAATTTAAGCTGTCTAAAACAAAATAACATCAACAACAAAATTACATTTGTGTCGCCCCTTTCACATTGGGAGGATGTCCCAAGGTGCTGGACAAGTGTTTCAGACCCGGTGGTTTCAGCCCATGAAATCAAACTTTGAGTTACAATGGCAGTGTTATAAAAAACAGCCTCCGTACAGCGTTTGCATTGTCAAATCACTAATGATGTTGTCACTGATGTCATTAAATTACACTGCACCCGTGCACAGCAATCTGGCCGACCAGTCTGCATCTCCGGGGAATCCACAATAAAATCGCAGGATCGGTTCAGATGAGGAAGATCCATCTGATCTCATCCCTCCAGAATACCTGCCCTACCGTCACATTAGAGCATCAAGCTGCTTTGTAAACAAATCCAGTCTCCTGGTCTCACCCACACTTTGTGGCAACCTATTCCAGTCGTTAATTATC